GCCGAACCCGAAGTTTAATTGGCCCAATTGATGTCTGTGTAATTGAAGTCCCCCATCACGACTACATTGCCCTCTCTCCCAGCTATTCCTATCTGGGAGTGAAGATTGACTTCTCCCTCCTCCCCTATATTTGGAGGTTTATAACAAATACCCATGATAAGTTTACGGCTAGCGTTCGTCATATCTAGCTCCAGCCATAAGGATTCCACGTCTTCCCCATTGTTTGACATGATATCGTCCCTTATATGCACATTAAGATTATTTTTTACGTAAATGCAAACCCCCCCCCCCTTCTCCCACCTCTGTCCCGCCTAAACAAGTTATACCCCTCTATATTAGTAGCCCAGTCATGCGTGCTATCAAGCCAGGTTTCCGCTATACCCACTATGTCGTGGTTGTTATGCATAACTGCTCCAGATAGTTTCTGTTCCACTTTTGAAAAATTCCTCTCACTATCTCTTTTCATATATCCATTGACATCAAGCAATTTTAACACAATGTAACCTCTGCCTTTTTTATCATTGTGTTTTAGAGCTCTATGTACAGGTGCAGACCAGTGTAAACAGTGCTTTCTTTACATTGCGCTTGTCTGTAGCCTACACTGTAACTCGGGTGGACGACTTATTTGTGTAACAGCTCATATTGAGGGGTTTCCTTTAAACTGTAAGAAGGAGAAAATCAGTTATGACGTGAACAAATGGAATGTAAAAAAGGATTGAAGCAGGTCAGAAGGAGGTGAACTGCAGGCCAGATGCACCTATCAATCAATTTAAAATGATCTCAAAGGTGTCTCAAACTGATGTCAATAGCAAGGTCAACTACACAGCCCAAATCCCATTGATAGGGAATCCTGGTTTACATATTATTAATTCTGGACCCTGGTGGGACTCCAAAGGCTGCAAAGGCTGTACCAGCTATTCCATATGTGAAGACCATGCAATCATCCCAGCTTACTAAAATGAGGACAGAATTCAGCACCAGAAACATAATTACTATTAAACTAGTAACACACATTAGTATCTTCATTTTCCCATGATTTATCTTTCTCTTTGAATGCATGAAGACTGCCCATGGCCGAATTGTCCGTTCATTTTAAGAAAATACAAGCAAGAAATTAATAATTACAAGTACAATGTTATGAACTGTCCATAGTGCTGATCATGTTTGTTTACAGTTTTACACCAGCAACACCAAAAAAAGGTTTTATGCTTTCATTTATTTTTTAACATTTATCTCTCGTCTTTTGTTTAACTTGAGGTAGTCTTCAGCACACGGGGTGGTTTTTAGTGGTGTCCCTTGGCACCCTTCCCAAAGCATCAGTGCCCAGTGCTCATGGTCACCAGATTTGGAGTTACTAATAACTGCAGTAAACATTATATTTTAAAGGAAGTTAAAACATAGTACACAGTACCTCCATCTGAATCTTGTATTTCCATGTGCACTATTCCTGGATCAGAGTCTACTCCAGCCACAGACCTGTGAATACAGAAAATGTATTTATTAGTTCTATTCATACAAAATTGTGTGTTTCAGATCTTCAGTGGCAGCAAGTTTACAAGGGTTTTTTTTTTGTTCAGCTCCAGTAGGACATATGGATCTGCTTACCTTGATGGCGTTTTTAACTTAAATGGGTTAATTTATAAAAATGTTGCCCAGCGTACATCCGTATGGTGACATCACCCCTAGATTGCCATCTAGAGCTAGTGCTTTTATAAATGAACTGTTATAAATGACCCCTTAGTGTATTTTCATGTTTTTAGTCAAACTGAGATAACACCAACCTTTATAAATCTTACATGTTTCTTAGGGATGTTCAGATACCAAGTACCGTGTTTCCCCGAAAATAAGACAGTGTCTTATATTACAGAAATCCCTGAAGATAGCGCTAGGTCTTACTTTCGGGGAAACACGGTAGCATACTACGTACAAGTACAATTACAGATACTTTTCCAGCTGCAAGACTAGACTAGAGAAAAACTTAAAGTTAGGAGGCAAATGTAATTTTTAAGGAGCATGCAGAGCTCCCGGGATTTATGTATCCCTGTTTTGTCCAAGTACTCACAGATACAAGTACTGATACATTTTTGTTTATTTTCATGTGACAATTTTTCTAAAACAATACAGACTAATGATTTCAGGAGAGTGGTGGAGGCCATGTCCCAGTTTCAAATGCTGTAACCCTGGTAGTTCTCGTAAAACATCCCTAATGTTTCTATTTGCATAACAAAGCAAATATGTAAAAATTGCTCCTTACCTTTTCAAATGTGCTTTACTAATGATAAGGAGGGGGCTGTGGGAAGTTATCATTACTCTAAATTACCCTGACTGTACTTTGCTGGCAGATTTCATTATCAGTTTTAAACTAGATTTGATCACTGTGTGTCCTAACAAAGGGTTAAAGATCTAGAAGCATTGTATGTTAATAGGAGGAAGCTCAGTCTGTGCCTCAGTTTGTTCCTCTACCCTTACTTTCAAACAGCTCAGAGTAGCCTGGAATCTGCACATACGCCTTCAACAAAGGTGCATCTAAAAAGGTAAGAAATATTTTTAAAATATTTTTGGTAGGCTGTGTGAATGGGAACCCATAACAAAGATATAGTGGAGGTTTTCTCAAATTTGACTGCAAAAGTGGAAATATACTTGGAGGACATCCCTGTTGTAACAGGTGGAATAAGACTCCAATGTGGGCAGGAACTCCACCTATTGTTAACATTTCCTGTATGCGTGAATATGCCCTTTAAGAATATATTTCAACGATTAGTACTAGCAGATGATTATCACTTTTTTTTATTTTACAATTTTTTTTATTTTACAATATAAACTCATCAGGTAGTGCCCCCAAATCTACATATATGACAACACAGGCTGTAGGGTATCATGAATTGCAGGGTCCTGTGGAAGTATTTAGCTATTTGTCAGTGAAATTGTATCTGATCATTTCTACAATCAGACAACCATGTCCATTCTTGTAATTAGAAACAGAGTTCTTGTATTAGTGAAATAAACGTACATAATCTTCATGTTTATATTACTGTCATAATTAGACAAAGGCACAGTGCTTATATCATTTGGAATTTAACATTTCAGTAAAGGGGACCTGTCATCTGCACAACGCACCAGAAAATCTGTTTAAATCATCTGAGTAGATAAAATCATTTCAACATAAAAAAAGAGCTTTGGCTTTGCATAAACTTTAAAGTAGAAATTGCAGTAAAACGCATTGTCTGTTTACTACATCAGGGCCTGCTCCATCATATTAAATAGCAGGATGAAAGTTTAAAGCAGCACTCCAGCTTTAATAATACATATACTTACATTGGTTGAGCATGGTACAATGTAAATATATGAGTTGCTCGCTCAGCACATTGTCCATTCAGAGGATGCCTAGATGCAGGGCATTAACCATATGTAATATATATATATATATATATATATATATATATATATATATATATATATATATATATATATTGGTATATATTTGTGTATTTATATGTGTATCTCACTGATGCTTGTGATTTTAGTTTATATTTGGTCATTATTGTGTAGTTGTTTAACCCCTTCGTGACGGGAGACGTACAGTGTACGTCTTGTCACTTTGTGCCTATATGACTGGCCACGTACACTGTACGTGACGAGTTATATCAGGCTTTGTAATGCCGGTATTTGCTGATTCTCAGCATTTAACAGTCATTCATTAATGTCTCAGTATTGAGGCATTAAT